CCCTCTCTCTCTCTCTCTCTCTCTCTCTCTCTGTGTGTCTCTCGCTCATTCACACCCACTCTCTCTCACACACACACACATACACACACATTCACACACACATACTATCTCTCTCTCTTCTCTCTCTCTCTCTCACATACACACGCACACACACAAACACACACACACACTCACTCACTTTTCCACTCACTCTCTCACCCTCTACCCAAACCCCCCTCCAACCCCCACCTTCCTTCTCTCTCTCTCTCTCTCTCTCTCTCTCTCTCTCTCTCTCTCTCTCTCTCTCTCTCTCTCTCTCTCTCTCTCTCTCTCTCTCTCTCTAAATGCGACTGGGTGGATACGAGTTCGTGAGTGCCTTTGGTGAGCGTGCGCGCGGGCGTGCTTACATACTTTTGTGTCGTTTCTTTTTGAAAGACGTCACATGAGCCTGGGCCAGAGCCTGAGCATTTTACAAAGTGTGGTGCAGTACTGCTTTTACTCCTTTTAGGAAACTATAATTATTTTCACAGTAATAGCAGCACAAGCAAGAGGTCATATCTTGAGAATGTTCATACCAATATATAACAATTTGAAATTTAGATCTAGCAGAGATAGAATAGGCTGTACTGTACCTATGTAATAATATTAAGTTCTTTTTTTAAAAAAAACATATCAGGGTCTAATATGGGACAGATAGGACCTACACATATATTATTATTATTACATGACATGTATACCATGCGCGTTTACTTTCAGGTTCGAAAACGTGATCATGTACACGTGTTCGTTCATTGTGACAACAGATCTCACCATGCCTATATATTTGGGTACGGTACCGGTACTAGTTTAACCATCAGAAAACCATGATCTTACAGTCACACACAAACAAACTGAAACTAGTGACTTGATAAATTATTGATGAATATTGTATCTTTTTATCTGCGATATCTAATCACTTCTTTTATGTTTGTTTGCTTTATGGGTTGGGTTTTCTTTATACTTGTACTGTATTGTTATTTCTATGGGGGATACATAATATATTGCGCAACTTATAATTTATAATTCGTTGAAATTTGATAAATAATTACCGGTACTTCAAGGGTAACACTTACCAGTTTGAAATGGGTTTTCTTTTTTTCTTTTTCTTTTCTTTTCTTTTTTTTTTTTTGAATGAAATGCAGGGAACTATTCTTTCTTTTTGAAAATCAATAAACAATATTTCTAATCTGAAATACAGCGTACATTACTACTGCTTGTAATAGAAACTTAGTATGCCAGTGCCATAAGTCCCCCTCATGTGGGGTTTACTGCATCAGGAGAGAACTATATGAGGATGTGAGGGTCACCCCATGCCAGGGTGACTAAGACAATCCTCCTCTTTTCCCTCATATTTTTAAAGAAATTGGGCTACATTTTCTCCCAAAACGGCATTGATTGATACTATTCAACCCCCCCCCCCCCCCTCCCAAATTTCAACCCAAAAATATTAACTTACATAAAAACTCAGTTTTCAAAACGATGAATCCTAGAAGCTGTACAAGGTGCCTTAGTCTGTCCCCGAGGTTTTTTATGCACCCGGCATAAAATTAAGCAAAATTTGATCTTTTTTCTTTTTTGCATACTTTCTTATTATTTTCCTTTAAATCGTTCTTTGTTAAAAATAACACAGAATCGCATAATTTCAAATTTTTGGGCTCAATTTGTATAATTTCAGAATTTTTCTTGCCTAAAACGACGGGGACAGCTTAGTCATCCTGTTACCGTACTTCCTTAATTCTGGTTCAATGCCATGGATACCTGGGTAATTGACCTAGTGGTGTTATTTTCATAAAAGCATGTGTAGCCTACGATACGGGGCGTTCACAAATGACGTTGACCAGCTAAAATTTGGCCAAAAATGTTAAAATGATCCCTCCCTCCCTCCCCCTTTGTCGTCATCTTCGGCCATCTTTCGCAAGAACCCCCC